GTGGACCCCGCGCCCCGGGCCAGCGGCCCCTGCAGGCCTGCCCGCCTCCTAGACCAGCTCCTGACTCAGTCTCCCCGGGGAGCCGGTGGGTGTTTCCGGGGTGGAGCTCTAGCCCCCCCATTAGCCCCACACTGTGTCGGGGGAAGTGAAGTCCTTTGTCTCTAAGGGATCCAGGTCAGAAATGGGCGGACCTCCGGCTGTCGGAGGGGGTCCCATCCATGATGTCCGCCCGGGGAGGTGGCCACAACCTCCCTGGAATGAGTGTTTCCGACTACCGACAGTTCTCTCCCAGCGGCCGGCTCCCAGCCTCGGCGCATCCTTCCCGCCCTGGGGGCTCCTGCAGGGTCGGAGCAAAGGGGGTTACCTTTCCCGGGGAGGCACACGCTAGGGCGCTCGGACTTGCTGAGCGCTTCTTGCCGCCTTTCAGGGTTCATTGTGCGTGTGTCTGTCTTAATTTCCAGGCAACTTTAGCCAGTAAGTCCTCCCAGAATTCCTCGTGAAAAAGCTTTCCGTTGTAATTGGTTGTTTTCCTTTTCTGTTGAGGTCTGTATGTATATTTTCAACCCGTATGGAGACGAAGAAGACTAACATTCTTGGCCTCATGTGAAAACCTCTCATTAAAACGACGTCTCTGCCCGGTGGGCCCACAGCATGGAGCACTGGGCATTTAAACTCTGGGTGTGAATGGTTAAGCCAGGAGCGCCCAGTCCCCTTCCACCAGACCCCGTGGCCTCGGGTCCGCCAGGGAAGTATTGGGATGAGGAGGGGTGACCAGTGAAGGGGGATGTGATGTGGTGGGAGGCGATTTCAAATGCTGATCTTTCTTCCAGGATCAAAACGGTCAATACCACCTCTACGCTGACCAGCTCCCAAATGCATGTCTTCTCCCTGGATGCACCCCCTAACTTCAGAATCGTGCATCTAACTCTCTAGGAGACATAGCCACTTGGATGTCTAATAGGCATTTCACACTTACATCTAAAATCACACTCCTGAATTTCCCCCACCTAAATCTTGCTTTTTGGGGGGTCGAACGACCCTTTCACAGGGGTCGCCTAAGACCATCGGGGAAAACACGTATATAATTACATATTGTTTTTGTGATTAATCACTGTACTTTAATTATGTTCAATTTGTAACAATGAAAATACATCCTGCATATCAGATATTTACATTACGATTCATAACAGCAGCAAAATTACAGTTATGAAGTAGCAACGAAAATAATTTTATGGTTGGGGGTCACCACAGCCTGAGGAACTGTATTAAAGGGTCGTGGCATTAGGAAGGTTGAGAACCACTGGTCTAGGCCCTAACCATATCTCACTTTTTTATTGCAGTAACCTTGTAATTAGTCTCTCAGTTTCAATCTTTGCCTTCCCCTACCTAAATCTGTTCTCAGCACAATAGCCATAGCGATCACGAGTGAGATCATGTTTTTCTCTCTCTTCTAAACTCATGGTGCCCTAGCTGGTTTTCTCAGTGGTTAGAGCATCAGCCCACAGACTGAAAGGTCTCAGGTTCGATTTCGGTCAAGGGCACATACCTTGGTTGCAGGCTTGATCCCACCTTCTACTTTCTCTGAAGATAAATGGAAAAAATATCCTCAGGTGAGGATTAACAACAACAAAAAAACTCATGGCTTCCCATCTTACTTGGAGTAAAAATAAAATTATCATTATTATGGCCTACATAGGATCTGGCCCCCTGGTACTGCTCTCTGACTTCCACTCCTACTGCTCTCCCTTTCTTCACCACCCCCTGCTATACTCACCTCTTAGTTGTTTTTCAAACACACCTGCCATATGTCTGCTTGGGTCTTTTCACTTGTTCCCTCCACCTGGTTCACTCCTTCAGATATCCTCTCTCTAAATATCTTTTCATCAGATCTTTTCTAGCCACCCTGTGTAAACTCACAGCTCCCCTCCAAATCCCTCTTCCCTTTTCTGCTTTATTTTAATCCGTAGAACTTATTACCATCTAACATGTAATTTACCTTATTTGTTGTTCTGTCCTTCTAGAATGTAAGCTTCATGTTTTGTTCACTGCTGTATCCTCAGCACTTAGAACCATACCTGGCACACAGTAGGCACTTAATACATATTCAGTGAATGAGTAAATGAGCTGTTTAGTTATATTAAAGACAAAGTATCTACCCTTAACCTTGAGAGTGACAGTCATATAACAGCATAGCATAAAAAAGAGGAAAATCTGGGGAAGAAGAAAGTTGTCTAGGAGCACAGAGAAGAAAGAACATACTATCTTGGAAGGAACTGAGGAAATGGCAACTGAGGTGGGCCTTAAAGATTCAGACTGTAGGAGGACACCTCAGACATGAGAATATTGTGAAGGCATGGGATAAAAGAATGTATTGGAGTAAATGGGAGAAGTTAGCTGGTGTTTAGCTTGGATAGTGAGGAGTACAGGGGATAAAGCAGGTCAAGTGGGTTTTGAGACCAGATTATGAAGGTCTGAAGGCCCAGTTAAGGAATGGATAATTTATCAGCCAAGTTGTACCATCAAAAGCTGGCATTGCTCAGTGGTTAGAGTGTTGGCCCATGAACCCAAGGGTTATGAATTCGAGTCTGGTCAAGGGCACATAACTGGGTTTCAGGTTTCCTGCCCTGGTTAGGGCACGTGAGTGAAGCAATGGATTGATGTGGCTCTCTCACATTGATGTTTCTCTCTCTCCTCTCTCCCTCTCCCCCCTCCCTTCTAATCAATGGAAAAGATATCCTCCAGTGAGGATTAACAACAACGAAAAATCCAGATAGTAAATATTTTAGGCTTTGACAGCCCTTCGGGTCTCCTGCACTGTTTAACTTTGCCATTGTAGCAGAAAGAAATAATGCATGAATGAGTATGGCTGATGATGCGTGGTTATGTAAGGTACTAGTAGTATGGCAATAGAGGGAATGACAGATGAGAGACTCAGTGGTTAAAAGCAAAGGCTCTGGTGTGAGATGAAGCAGGATATTTTTCCCAATGAATTTTTTTAAGAGAGTTGGAGGAGGGGAGAGAGAAACATTGATGTGAGGGAGACATGTCGACTGGGTTGCCTCTCACACATGCCCAGACTAGGGCTGGGAATGAACCTGCAGC